GGGGGGAGGGTGGAAACCTGTTGGACGATGCAGATTCCAGGTACTTTTTTTTCTCCCCTTTTGTGTGTACATATAAATTATATATAAAACTCACTTTCTACAACCCCCCGTGCCTGGCGCCCTGTGTTTGCATTGTCGCGCGAGCGCTCCCTCCACGGTGGGCGCCCCGGGGATGTTCCCACCTGAGAAATGGAGGTGCCAGGCCGGGGTCTGAGCAGTGCCAGGCTCCAGGAGTGGAAGACAGCAGGGGCTGGAGGGCCCTTGGCACCAGGGAGCCGCCCCGCCCCCGTGCCGCAGGGCAGTCTCCATGCCCCAAAGTCCGGCAGGGTCACTCTGTCCCAGCCCCAGCCCGCTCCCTGCCCTGAGGCCTCCGGACAGCATCTGGACCAGGCCACAGGCAGCAAGGAAAGCAGTTTATTGCGGTACACGAGTGGCCACACCAGGGCCTGGCCCATGGCTGGGGCTGGAGTGGCAGTGCCCTGCAGTGCTCAGAACAGGCTGAAGTGGGGGTTGCTCAGGCTCATGCTGTCCACGAACCTACCGCAAAGACTGGGTATTAGCTCCCACCCTGATGCCTGTCGCCTGCCCCTCGTAGCTTCCCCCTGGGCCTGGCTCCTGGAACCACATGCACTTGACCCCTGGGCCCCGGCGGCCCTGTGCTGCCCTTGGCACCCAGGATCCAGCTCCCCCATGCTGAGCTGGGCAAGGGCAGCCATGCCCCCTCCTCTCTGGGGGGTGGTCTGCCACAGGTGCGCCAAAAGCAGGCGAAGGAGGTCTCCCCCCACCCCATGACAAACTGCTGTACTACTTTAAGGGCTGGGGTGTTGTGTGATCCCCATCCTATTATATACGCAGCTGCAAGGACCTGCTCCCCAGTCCCGACTGCTTCTGGACTTGGGTGAGAGGGTTTGGGGGTGGGGGATTAGCCCCAGCCCACCACTGCTTGCATGAGGGTCTGGCTCGGAGGGAGATCTCCCCGGCTTTGCTCAGGGACCTGGGGCTGGGTGAGTCTGACGGCGAATCAGGCCAGCCCCTATGGCACGTGGCCCGGTCCAGGATGGGGGCAGGTGCTGTCCCGGGGATGCAATGGCTCTGCGGGGAAGGAGTGGGCATTGCCGACCCCAGGCTGGCTCCGCTCAGGTGGGAGGGGGACAAAGACTTGGGGTGAATTGGGGGTCTGGGTGGGAGGGGATGTGGGGGCCATGGGCCCTGCTCCAGTGGCTCCTGGTCTCACCTGGTCACAGGGCTCCACACCAGTGGGCGCCTAGGCACCACCATCCATGGCATCATCTCTTCTGGGCGCAAGGCTGGGTCCCAGGGCAGCCACCAGCCGAGGTCCTGGCCGCACGTCAGGGGCACCCTGTACACTTGGTTGGGGGCTGGGTACAGACCAGAGAGGGCTCGTGGGCATCCAGCTGCTGTGGGCACCCCCAGCCCCCGAGCTACAGCTGTTCCCTGAGGCCCCGCGGGGGCTCTGCACCCCGACTGCCGCTGTTCCCCTGGGAGGAGCTGGAGGCAAAGCCCCTTTCTCGGCACAGATGGGAGCTGTGCTGTGCTCCAGCTGGTCCCTGACCAGGGACTGTCATGGGGCATCTGCAGCAGAGGCCGGATAGGACCCAGGAGTCCGGGTTGGCTGCTCCCCTTCCCTGCAACCCAGCCTGCTTGTCACCTACGTGTTGTGCGCCGGACACGCCGGGTGGGCTGGCCACACATGTCCTCACGGCCCTGGTGCACGGTGCCACCCGGCCGGAGTGGCAGCAGCTTGGGCAGGAATGGTCCTGCGCCAGCCGGCTCCTTCCTGTCTGGGTGGGAACAGAAAGGAAGGGGGGTGGCAGCAAACCCCTGCGGCACCATCGGGCCTGGCAGGGCGCTGCGTGGTGGGACAGCAGCCCTCTGAGGACCAGCCCAGTTGCTGCATGTGTGAGGTGCAGGATTCACTGCACTGCTGCCCCGAGCTGGTCTGGCCCAACAGGGCTTGTGCCGGAGGAGGAAGGAGCTGCTGGGACAGGGTCACCAGGGACCCACGGAGGCCACGCTGACCACAAGCGTCACTCCTGAGGGAGGTGGTGGAAGGTGCCTCCCACCCCCATGTCACAGAGGACCCCCATTGCCCACAAACCACTCCCGTTTCATGCAACCCTCGCTGTCCCTGTGGGTGCTGAACCTGAGAGCTCGCAGCACCACAGATGCGGCTGGCACCGGGCGCCCCTCACCTGCCGCCAGCTCCCGCCTCCGGGCCCAAAAGGGCTCTTGGTACCCCAGCAGGGTGAGCCCAAAGAAGGCCATGGCCACAGCCCCACGCTGGAGCTCGGTCCACGGGCTGCACTGCGCCCAGAGCCGGCTAGCCCGGAGCTGCTGTTTGTTCTGTTGCCATGGAGACGGTGCTTTGGGAAAGGACAATGGGATGTAGGGCCCGGCTGGTTGCTTTGTGGTGGGGTCGCTCGCTGCTTCTTCTAAATCTGGGGTGGCCAAAACCAGCACCCAGGGGGGAAAAGGAAGAGGAGGATCCTAGCCCAGCCAAGTAGCATCCCTGGGGGCATGAGTGTCCGTCCCCATGCACTCACCCTCCTTTGATAGGGAAACCCGGAGGACACCTGCACCACTCGGTCTCCATCCCCTGCCGCTTCAGGTGTCGGCTGAGGGCTCCCCAGCAGCCCCGAGTGCCACATGCAGATGCCCCTCCCGCTCTGTAGAAGCTGGCGAGGGGCCGTTTCTAGGAACTGGGTGCAGGGGGTGTGAGCTGGGCGTCCGGCTGCGAGCCCAGCAACTGCCCGCCATGACAGGCGAGTCCTCTGCGCACAAGAGTATCTGCAGCGAGGAGCCTGGGGCTGTGTTTCTTCCGTCCCCACTGCTGCCCACTCCAGAGATGGCTGCATTTTGGGTGCTGCTGCAAGCGCGAGCGAGCGGAGGTGTCCTGATCACCTGGCTCTCGTGTGGTCTGTAACTGCCCCGGGGCAGGACCCGTGCTGGTCTCACGAGCCCTGCCCCTACCCTGTGCTGGGTGCATGGGGCCTGCCCCTGCCCCACTGGCCGTGTGATGGCTGGGACCAGGGGCTCCCTTTAGCCCTGCAAAGGCTTGCACCTCCTGGGAAGGGGCCTGGGATTGCACCTTGGACCATCTTTGTGAGCCCCGGGAGCAGCCAGCCCTGGGGTCTGCTGCAGCCTGGGGTCCCTGCTGACCCAGCAGTTTGGGGGCTGCTCCTAGGGCAGGGCACTTCTTGCCCTGTACTTTGCACCTCCTTGCATGGTGCCAGGCAGGCTGGTGGTGCATGGGCCTGCACTGCATGCACTGGAGTCCGGGCTGGGTCAGGGGTCATCAACTCAGCCCCTTTCCAGCGGCCCAGACCTGGCACCGCTTTTGCGCATGCTTGCGATGGAAAAGCCCTCCCTTCACACAGCGCATGCGCAACAGGAGCCGGCCGGCTGCGCAGGGAGCGGTAGCTTCTGCGCATGCTCAGTAGTGCTCTCCCCGGAAACCCCCTTCTCTTCACACACCGCATGTGCAACAGGAGCCGGCCCTCAGCGCATGCTCAGTAGTGCTTTCTACAGAGCCCCGCCCCTTCACATAAGGAGCCGGCCGGCCGCGCATGCTCAGTAGTTCTCTCTCCGACTGCCCCCCCCTCCCGCTTTCACACAGCGCATGTGCACCAGGAGCCGGCCGGCTGCGCCTGCTCAGTAGTTCTCTCTCCGAACACCCCGCCTTTCACACAGCGCATGTGCAGTAGGAACCGGC